ATTAAGCCCCCCAAACCACCTCATTGAGAAATTTGCAGATGTGTATACGCGCCAGCAAAACATCTGCGTGGACGAGTCCCTCATTCACTTTACTGGCTGCCTTGCATTCAAACAGTACATCCCTAGCAAGCGTGCCAGATATGAGGTCAAATTGTATAAGCTCTGTGAGAGGGCCACAGGCTATACGTACAAATTTAGGGTTTATGAGGGAAGAGCCAGTGAAATAGAGCCCCTCCCCCCCGACTGCCCAGACTACATGGGGAGCAGTGGCAAGATAGTTTGGGACTTGGTGTCTTGTTTGTTCCATAAGGGATACCACTTATAAGCGGACAATTTGTATACAAGCTTGCCACTATTTAGACATTTGAACAATCTTGGAATTGGCTCATGTGGCACCGTGCGACCTAATTGCCGGGGCTTCCCCCAATGGCTTGTAAATACCCGACTTAGAAAGGGGGAGAAAACCCACTTGAGGAATGAGGAAAAGTGAAGTGGAAAAACAAACGGGATGTTTTTGTCATGTCTTCTATTCACGCAGACGTGACAGTCCAAATTAACACGGTATCTGGCGCTGTTGAGAAACCCCTCTGTGCCCACGACCATAACCTTAACATGGGAGGGGTGGACTACAATGACCAAATGATGAATCTGTACCTAGTTTCCCAGAAAGCTCGACACTGGTACAAAAAGGTGTCTATTTATTTATTTCAGTTGGCTATATATAATGCTTTTGTAAATTACAAAGCAACAGGACAAAGTGGATCCTTCCTAAAATTTCAAGAAGAGATCATGGCCCTTTTGTATCCAGAAGGTACTGTGGCCCAATCCTCAAATCCAGATGCAGTTAGCCGGCTGCATAAGAGGCATTTTCCGGATGTCCTCTCTGGTACCCCATCCCAAAGGTCACCCCAAAGAAGATGTTGTGTCTGTAGCAGACACGGAATAAGACGCGACACCCACTTCTATTGTCCCTTCTGTCCTGGCCAACCTGGTCTTTGCCTCAAGGACTACTTCCGTCGCTACCATACAATAGTGGAGTATTAGAATAGGGTACAGTACGGCAGAGTTCAGGGCACATATTTACACAGGCTCTCGAAAGATGTTAGGTAGTCAGGAAACTGGCTATCGCATTTTGAGAGACCCTACAATCTGTTTTAAAAAGTTTAAAAAACAAAAGTAAAAAAAAAAAAATAAAAATAAAAAGTTCAAGTCCAAAAAAATAAAACCAAAAATTTTGTTTTTTTTTGTTGTTCTTACTATTCTACTGTTACGATTTTACGGTTTTATTGTTACTGTTTTATTGTTAACCATTGCAGTGTTCTTTGCAGGAATGTCATTCAGCTGCAGCACCGACCTGTTTATTCTGACAGCAACAGGAACTTGGTCTCAGAATACACATAAGTCAGTGTGGACAGCGCTGCTGGATAAGATTTTTCATCCGTAGTTAAAAAAAAAAAAAAAAAAAAAAAAAAAAGAAGCGCATGTATGCTGAAGCATGGAGGCTTGGGGTGGTCAGTGGGTGGATAGCCCCCATGCTTCGGCATATATATTTTATAATTATTTTTGGCACATTTCATGCATGCCCACCATTAGAAGTGGGTAGATGCAGGGAAGTATATTCTAATGGTGGGCATACCACACAATTTCGGCAGAGATTTTGTCTCTTTTTTGCATTCAGCCCAGACTGCATAAAAAAAAAAAAAAAGAAAAACCATAGCATATGGCCCTATGCTTTGGCATATATATTTCATAATATTTTTTGGCACGTCAATAGAAAAGTTGTTTTATTGAGTTACTGTAAGAAAGAGAACATAGCATATACACCCAACAAGGATCAGCGGCGTACTGGTACATCAATGGACTTTGAGTGGTTATACCAGGATGATGCCTGCAAGCATCATCCTGGTATCGTTTTGTTCAGCTGGTGATCGGCTTTCATGTAAAAGCAATCCTAGTGGCTAATTAGCTGCAGGATTGCTTTTACAAGCAGCAGAAGATGCCTCCCTCCCCCGCTGTCTCCCACAGCGTTCTCGGGTAGTCCCGTGCCATTGGGGGAACCTGAGAATGCAGCCGATGCTTCTGCCAGCTGACCATATAGCTAATTTGAGACCAGAATGGTGCCAATAATCTCAATATTTAAGAAATCGGAAGCTACGAGCATCTCATCACTTCAGTTTTGCAGGATATAAACAGCACCATTTGTAAATTGGGAAAGCATCTGATCTTGGGGAGATTAGATAATGTAAGAGCAGAGGAGACATCTAGAGTCTGATAGACCCCAGATTTCTCAAAAAAAGAATATATGACAATGCCCATTGAAGTTATAGGGGATATTTGCATTCCCTGTGATAACATTAAAAATGATCAAAAATAAATTTAAAAAAAATTAAAGGGACAGTGTAAAAATAATTTTAAAAAAATCAAATTAACCTGCGTGCGAGAGTGTTGACCCTGTGCCAGTACGTAAACAGTAGTTGCACCATGCATGTGAGGTATCGCCACAAACGTCAGATTAAAGGCAGTAATTCTAGCACTAGAACTCATCTGTAAATCTAAAATGGTAGCTTGTACAGACTTTTAAAGCGTTGCCTATGGATAGTAAAAATGTATGCAGTTTGTCACCATTGCACGGGACATGCGCAGTTTTAAAGCATGTCATGTTTGGTATCTACTCGGTATACCGACCTCTTTTATGTTTTATCAAATAATTGGCGAATACATTGTGTTTTTGTGCATTAAAAGTAAAAAAAAGTGTATTTTTTTTTTAAAAATTTGCTTTTCAAAAATCATTGCGCGAGTACTATGTGACATAAATTGCAGCACTCACCATTTTATTCACTAGGGTGTCTGCTTTAAAAAATATATATAATGTTTGGGGGTTCAAAGCAATTTCCTAGCAAAAAAATAGATTTTTTTTTTCAGTGAATAAAAGGCTCCTGTATGTGGCTAGGCTCCCAAAATGTCTCACACATGTGGTATCCCCATACTCGGTAGCGGAATGTATTTTGGGGTGTAATTCCACATATACCCATGGCTTGTGTGAGTAATATATCATTTAAGTGACAACTATGAGTAAAAAAATTAAAATAAAAAAAAGGATTTGTCATTTTACAAGGACTTGTGAAAAAAAAAAATAAATCTTTCATGGACTCAATATGCCTCTCAGCATATAGCTTAGATATAGCTTAGGGTGTCTACTTTCCGAAAAGGGGTCATTTAGGGGTGTTTGTACTGTCTTGGTATTTTAGCACCTCAAGAAATGTGATAGGCAGTCACAAAGTAAAAGCTGTGTAAATTATCTATACCATAGTTTGTAGATGACATAACTTTCACATAAAGCAATCAATATACACACACTGGGATTTTTTTTTATACCAAAAAACATGTAGCAGAATACATTTTGGCCCCAATTTATGGCTAACAGAGTTTACTATATATTTTTTATAGCCAAAAGCAAAAAATATATATATTTTTTTTAAAATTTCGTTGTGTTTTTATTTGTGCAGAAAATAAAAAGCGCACAGGTGATCAAATACCACCGAAAAAAAGCTCTATTTGTGTGGAAAAAAAGGACATAAAATTTTGTTTGGGTACAGCATTGCATGACTGCGCAGTTATCAGCTGAAATAGTGCAGCGCTGTATAGCAAAAAGGCCTGGTCAGGAAGGCCAAGTTAATAGGTTAACCTATTAACCTACAATTGGTTCTGATATCCCTGTTTTACTAACCTGACAGCCTATTATTCTAAAAAGGAAACCTTCATTTGATTTGCAAATATTAAAGATTCTAACAGCAAGAATGAGTCGGATTCCTTACATTTAAAGAGCACCTGTCATTTTAGATCCATCACGGCAGTGCCTGTATCTGTATATATACAGTCAGGATTGCAACATATGAACGTTTTTATATTTTCAAAAGCAGCCAGCAGGACGAGCACTATCCCTTTTCCAATTAAAATTAAGATCTTTCAGTAGATTAGAAGGTGACCATTTGTACCACACATCGATCTGAGATCAATGTGACCTTCAGCCCTGGTTCACACTGATGCAGTGTGGAACTCGCAGCGTTTTCTGTGGGAACTCCACACCGTATCAGAGTCGCACCCCATTCATGCGATGTATGTTAACAACACCCCGAACGTGTAATGCAAAATGCGGTGCGATGTGCAGAATCGGATTGCATAGGTGTGAATACCCATGCGATCCGCTTCTAGTGTGGACCCAAAAAAGGTCCAGGTACAGTGCGATTAGAGCCATTCAAAATGTATGGCTCCAATCGCACAGCACACAAATCGCAAGGGATTTGCACAAGAATGTGATGCAGTTCCTGTGCGAATCACGTGATAAACCGCACTGCATATATGTGCACCCAGGTTCAATATGTAAAAAATGTAAATCGGGTTTTACCTAGTTTGACCTTCAAGGATAGGAATGGCAGTTAACACGAATACACTGTTTTTTGACACGTTAACTATGTATAATTCTGTGACATTATGCACCAAGAAACCTAAACACTGCATTTCTTTTCATCGTGTCAGCCCGCACTATGCAAGATAATGCAGTTTACAATAAACCAAGCCTATTCTTGGCAATGTGTACCTCTCCTGTTGTATCTCACCTGATTTTTAGAAGAAAAAAAAATGCATAAAAATAAAGAATTTTCAAATAGGATTTACCTAAACTATAATAGTTTTCCTTTAAGCTGCTTCCTAAATGAAAGTTTTTCTCATGCTGCTCAAAGTAGCTTTGGTGTATCATAATTTATTAGAGCCCCTTGAATACCACAGTCGGAAACAATTTGTTTTTGCAGCATTGCAAAATTTCTGCCCTACTCGGCGGGTCTTTACATTTGGTTTAACGCTTTTGATATATGCTAAGCCTCATTAACTTTGAGAGTTGTTGCATAAATACCTAATTTTTTTCAAGAAGTAATAAACATGTCTGAAAGAAACTAATTCTTAAAGGAAAAAGGATCAGAACCACAAATATATTTTCACCCTACCTGAGTCACGCTGGATGAGTCGCAAATCTGGATCCTGCATACACTGAGGAGATGTTTGCTTTCGTATGTCCTGAATGTAAGGATCTAGATGCTGCCTCAGACAGTGTTTAAGGACCTTCATGTTGTGAGTGTACATGGGAGGAGGATGCAGCACTGTCATATGCAGAGGAATTGCAACAGCTGCAGGGATCAAACACAGTGACCTAAAAAAACAATAGAATGTTATCAACATAATGTCTTAAAGGCAATTTTGTTAATTATTTGGGCAGCTTCTTTATGCTTCACTGGTCCAGGTTTCAAGTTCCCTGATTTCAGTTTTTCCAATGGCTGTCCATTGGCTTGGATACTTTTCTTCTAATTCAAATTGGCTTGTTCACACATTTTGGAGCAATCCAACTAAACGTCAAAGCCACTAGAAAGCTTTATTCATTCTGCAACCTGTACTTCGCCCATCAGTAGAAGACATGCCCAAAAAAGCAATTTTTACTTATCTCTAAATTACTTAAAGGATAAGTTCACCTTTTTCCAAAAAAATAAAAAATGCATTTTTTGAAGGTAAAAAAATGTGCATTTACTATTTTATGTTTTAGGAACCTGGGAGGCATTGCACCAGCGATCAGCAAATCGTGTAGTTCTCCTGCAGACTGCCAATGTAATTTGTCTGCTTGTACGTCATATGAGCAGACAGTTCTATACAGACAAGAAGAATCAACAAGCTACCACAGTCGCAAAGGCTGATGGGACTTGTAGTCTTCCCATTTACAGAACCTTGTGAAAGGATGACATGGCCGGGGGCTAGCAGGGGGAAGAAAATCCGAGGGAGAAAGGGGGTGCAATGCAATTTTAACACTGTGAATTTAGCTGTAACGTGTAACATGTAACAAAAGGTGAATTTATCCTTTTAACTTGCAGTAAAATACAGCATAACAGGCCTCCAAAACACAAGGTTTCAGAAGGGTTTTCAACGCCAGTGCATGATGCACAGCCCAACGTGGGGCTCTGATGATGCGTTTATCATCTTGATGAACTGAAATTCACAGGCTGTTGTCTTGTGGAGGAGCAGTAGATTGCTCAGCTTTGTTTTGTGTGTGTATGCTCTAAAGTTGGGGTACTCAACTTTTTGAAGAGCAAGGGCCACTTAAATGATTTGGTAACTGGTCACAGCCCACAATGAAAGAAATTGGACAGAATTAAAAATTTTTTCTATTTTGTTAAATTGCACCCAGAGGTCAGGGACATCTTGGATCCAGAAAATCTTCATTGTGCTATACAAAATAAAAAAAATTTAAATTCTAATCCATTTCATTTCATTATGGGCCGTGACCAGTTACCAAATCATTTAAGTGGCCCATGCTCTTCAAAAAGTTGGGTACCCCTACTCTAGAGCATACACACACAAAACAAAGCTGAGCTATTTAGTTGCAATTATTTTATGGTGTTTATTGAGGATTGAAATGGCAGGATCTACTACAGGAAAAGTCAAATTTTTCTTACATTCCTATTCCATACATTAAATATGAGCAAAACACTTAGGAGAAGTGAATATTCTTTCAGCATTAGGTTAGTCCTCATGTAGAGCACTTTCAATCTGTATGTGGATGGGAAAGGTCTTCTTGATTTTTCTAGTCTCTTCGTGCCCATGGTGGCTTATTATGACTGCGGAAAAAATCAGGTGCTGCTAGGCAAAGGCTAGCTCATACATCGTCAATCATTACGTCTGTAGTGGAAACCATTTGTTGAGAAGCCATAGCTTAGGTCTCATAAAATGCAGAGCAACACAAAGTGAATAGATCTCCATAACAGATGTCTATTAATAGCCCAGAAACCGTACAAAATACAGGAAAACCCTGTCTTCATTTATCCAAGTCACTGGACCTGTTAGGGGTCCAGGCATTGCCCAACAGAGTGGGTTCCCATGGAGATGGACCAAAGGCCTGGCCTGGTAAAGCAACCTGCTTTGCAATTCATGCCAAGCGGAGCACCTACCACAGGATCAAGTGCCCAGACCAAACATTACAGGCTGGTCCCACAGAGTGGGGTATGGGTATAGTTCCCAAGGTATAACACCATGGGGTATCAAACCAGAAACTGCTACAGAGTCCAGGGTGATAAGCAGTCAAATCTTGATAGAGATGTCAGAAAAGAAAGGAATGGTTTAAAATAAAACACTCCTCAAAAGAAGCAGTCTATCACCTAAGGACCCTGGCAAAAAATGGAGTCTCACAGAGTGGGTGGGGTTATAGGAGTGTGCACTAGGGGCAACCCTAGCAAGTTTTTTTGCCAGTGCCTAACAAACTGAACGTAAAATGCATATAACGCATGATCTACAAGTACAAGCCCTTTGTTCTGTACTGTAAGATTAAGTTATAGACACAGGAGTAATGGCTACCTAGCTGTTATGATTTGACAATGGGGTATGCTATAAATGTATTACTAATACAAAACAGAACACATCAACACAAATAATAATTGTTCAGAAAAAAGACCATATGGGATTATGCCATTTACCTTTTAGCAATGGGTTCTAAAACTGCTTCCTGCTGTTTGACGCTCCGAATAAGGTGCTGCAATGGATCATTGGAGTTCTTAGGAGATTGAGACGAGATTGCACAGTGCACTGATCCGGTCCAGCTCCACTGTGTATTCAACATAAAAGGTCGTGTATCAGGATAACGCAAGGAAAACAATGATAAAAGGTCTGACCCATACACAGGAGCTCGTCCACACCGTCGTTCATTGCAGATGAAGAGCCTATCTAGACGCTCTTTTAATGAACGTTGCTTGTCTTCTGTAGATTCCTTTTCACATAGAAAATATAGAAAATGAATTCACTTAAAAGCCATTATAAGAATCGTAAGATATACCAGATTGAAAGTGAAAGCAGGTAGATAATGTACACACACAGTCAATATACTGTTGTATAATAAAATTAACTTCATGATAGCAAGTATATATATATATATATATATATATATATATATATATATATATATATATATATATATATATATATATTTGCCCTGTGCAAAACCACAGCTCAGAGCAGGCAAGTATGACATGGTTGTTATTTTATTTATTTTTTTAAATTGTCTTTAATATCAATTTAAATACACACACACCTGGGAAAGTGAAGCTGGAGCAGATTTTGCAGTTGGATCTACTGTAGGTGTGCTTTTGGAAGTTATAAGAGCTGCAAAAAAAAAAAAAAAATAGAAGATTACTGCAATTTAAAGTGATTACATTAAGAAAAACAGACACTAAGATGTACGTCAGGTAAAATTGCCGTATGAAAACAACAACTAACAAGGGATGGACTTATAGTGAAAGCAAAACTAAATATAATACCTTTCCAACACTCCCTCACATTGACACCTTATTCTGAGAGCCGATCTTTGAGCCTTTTCATTGGCTGGTGCAGAAAGATGTTACTCCTACGAATGTGTCGGGGCTAAGTCATCCAGACTAGCACTGAGTTGCATGCCTCTTCTGCCATAAAAGCCTGCCTACTTGCACTTTTTTTTTTTTTTCTTTTTACAGCAGAGCTTTAGTTCCGCTTTAAAATATAGAGACCATTCAAGTTCCATGAGGATGCCAAAATAATTTGGGAAGAGAAGCAATCTCTATAACAGGGGCAGTCTATAACAGAAAGCAGTAAAGGGGTTGATGGAAGAATTCAAAATAAATAATTGGTTAAAGTGGAATTCCAGCTTAAACCTAACTAGCCTTGAAATTTCCCCTTCCCCCTCCTAAACACTTATGATGGTTAACCTGTGAATAAAAGATGAATACTGTATATTTACCTCTTTTCAGGTGGCTTCAGTCACGTGATCCAACAGCGAGGCCTGCAGGAGCAAGAAGGGAGTGCTGACATTGGGTAGGTCATAGCAGCCTATGGGTGACATCATTGTTCCAGGCTTTACCAGCTTTTGTCAAGTGCTCTCTCCTCTCCCCCCTGCAGCTGCTGACTGACTGACACAGGACTCATGTGACCAGACCAGACAGGCTGAAAACAGGTAAGCATATGCTTTTTTTTTTTTTTCCCTTAACGGCTAGTTAGGTTTAGGATGAATTTCCACTTTAAGCATAGAAACTTCCCTGTGAGGGTGAAGAGATCCATCACTAGCAAAAACTGAGGTCTTGCAGAGTGGGGTATCGTTATAGGGATACCCCTAAAGGGAGGGGGTGTTAGGGGGGAGTGGGCAGACTGGGGAGCATCTAAAAGCTCTGCCATTGTCCAATCGTCTGAAGATAGTCTATAACCCAGGGTCAATGATTGTCAAGCTTTTGTCTTGTACTTTATGATTAAGAGAACATGTTTTAGCTCAGAGGGAGAAGGCTAGATATAGTGTATTTGTCACTACATGTGTCCCTGCATCAGAGATTCCTATATATGCTCTACTTGGTAAGGGCAAAGATATCCAACTGGATCACATAAAGCAATAAAAAATTAGCAGTAGGGTCCAGAGGTGATCCAGTACACCAAAGTGGAATAGAAATGTCATAAGTTGTTCTACACAAAACCTAAAATATGACAGACAGATAGGACAATAATTCTTACAAACATAAAACAGACATCTACCACAACCGCCTCACCAGCTGATGGCACATTAGTAGGTGGAGGAGCTCCCACTTGGGCTTGGTTTCTTATGGCATTAGCAGCTGCACTCTGTGGCACAGATGGAAGAACAACAGATCCCTGAGTACGCAGGTACTGGCCCGGAGCAGAAACAATCTGCAGAACGTTACCTAGGATAAAAATACATAAAGCTGAACGTACCTGTTAACCTCAATGCATGGGACATAAAAAAATGCCAGCTTCCATAAAAGGTTTATGTGCAGTTTTGTGATAGATTCCTCTGTCGTAAATATGTGTTAAGCATCAATAAGTGGCCGTGCCATTAGCATGGTTCACTGATGTGAATCCTAAGAGATAGCGCTTCCCCAACATCATACAATCTGCAGTATAATATGGCCAAACATGTGACAGACACAAGCTATAATCAAAGGAAAAACGCATAATTCAAAAGATATTTTGAGCTATTAAGACTCCAACTGATACCTGATCCTTAATTGAAAACTGATGGTAAAATCCTTATTTGGTGTTAGCAAAATCTCTGCAACACTTACATAAAGGCACATTCTGCCAAGAGTTTAAAATACTATTTCATTTGGAAAAGTGGAAATCTGCTTGGGGCATCCTGTAATTTTTATTTTTTTTAGAATTTGAACAATGTCATAACTAGGTTATATCTGCCTTGGGTGCACAATGGCTCCGGATGAATGGAACTTTAGTTAAAGTCATCCCCGTTTAATTACTTAAAACGAGATTAGCAGTATGGACCCTTCCATGGAACTACACAGCAGATTCTAAACCGGGATCCAACTTCTCAGTGAAAGGAAACTGAATTCTACCTTTAACCTAACAAATATGGACCTGCATACCTATAACAATACCCAGTGTCTTCTGCATGTGTGACTATTCTGGAGGTTACCTTGTAGCTGTAATGGCTGGCCAGCAGTAAGTTGACGTAACTGGCTCTGCGACAGAGTGAATTTGTTTCCTTGGAACTGAAGGGTGACTGGAGTCTCAGGCTGAGCAATTCGTCCCTGGCCTGCCCCTGCTGTAGCCAGCTGGGCAATTTTTACAACTTCACCACCTGTGGAGACCGAACCAAAAAAGAAACAGCACAGAGGTTTCAGTTCATCAAAACAAGTTAAGCAGTAACCATGTCAAAGAAAATGAAAAACAAATGTGGCCCAGTTATGTTTTAAAGAAAATATATAGTTAAGATACTAATCACCTTTATAAGTACCGTAGTAGAAATGTTATAGCTTACATAGCTTGGCAGAACAATTTAAAGATCTATTCAAATAGGTGACAATAATGTTTTTGTCATTTATTTCATAATGAACAATAAAATTTGAAAAATATTATAATAGGAATGCAAAAAAATGTAAAGGGAATCTGTTAAAAAATATGGGAGCAGTTACTGCTAGGTAATTTTTGAAGACACATGTTCAGGGAAAGGAAATAGGAGGTGTTAACACCTTTGTTTTAATACTCAGCAAGCCCCTCACACTGCAACTGTGGAAACTGGACATTACTGGCTGCATATTTTTATCAAATCATTGACTCGCTAGGAGAAGGACAAGGAGCTTCAAAATAAAAGAAAAAAGCAACAGTAGCTTCCATAATACTATTGTGACAGTTTCCCTTTAAAAAAGAAAAAAAAAAATTACATCACAAAGTTAATGTATATGCTTAGTGTTACAGCCTACAAATGGGGAAAGCACATTGTGCTCAAAATTTAAATATGTGCAAATAAATAAAAAAATATATTTTTATTCGTATCAGAAGGTGGGGCAGCTGTGAATTAGCTGCAAGATTAAATAATAAATAGCATCTAGAAAATGGATTATGGGGTTCTGTCAAGGTATGCAGGTTTCTGCATGCATTTGTTATTAGAACAGCCATTTAAAATTATGGAGGCTTCATGGGATACAACTTACTTGGAAGCCTGGCCTGAGAACTGAGCACCAGCCTTGGAGACAGAACATTCTGCTGGACAGCATGCTGAGAAGTCTGAGCCTGACTCAGTTGCCTTACTGATGGGGCAGCTGCAAAGGTTGCTGGTGCCTGAGGCCTAGGAACTCCCACAGAGACATGTGTGGTTTGACCCTGGGTAATAGGTACTGAGAATGACATTGCTAATTAGATAAGGAAATCCTGCATACAACATATGGATATTTATGAGTGCCAAGACTTACAGGCACCATCATAGAAAATGTACTAAAACTTAAGAAATCTTTATTTAAAAATACATAAAGGGTTTAGCATACAGTTTCTGATACTTTGTAGAGCACCCAGCAGCCTCACGGTAAAGATTTATACAAATCTTCAGCAGCTCATGTCAAGTTCAGCAAACCCCTTGCACCTCGATATTGTCCATATTTATGGATCAAAGTTAGCTGCAGCAGGCAGGCTCAAGCTTGATTTCAGAAACCTGATGTTTAGATTTGCATAGTAAAGGTTTTGGGGCTCTCTTTGGTGCTCTTCAAAGTCTGAAGCCCCTTTTCCGAGGTCAAAATGAGTACAGGTTTACTTAAATGTTCAATAGCCTAGTCAAGTAGGAAAACATGTATACCAGGTATAATACAACAAATGATAAAAATAAATACATACACACACACACACACACACACACACACACACACACACACACACTATATTGCATAAAGTATTGGGACACCCCTCAAAATCATTGGATTCAGGTGTTCCCATCACCTCCATGGCCACAGGTATATAAAATCAAGCACCTAGGCATGCAGACTGCTTCTACAAACATTTGTGAAAGAATGGGTCGCTCTCAGGAGCTCAGTGAATTCAAGCGTGGTACCGTGATAGGTTGCCACCTGTGCAATAAGTCTACCCATGAAATTTTCTTGCTACTAAATATTCCACAGTTAACGGTTAGTGGTATCATAACAAAGTGGAAGCAACTGGGAACAGCAACTCAGCCACAAAGTGGTAGTCCACGTAAAATGACAGAACGGGGTCAGCGCATGCTGAAGCGCAGAAGTCGCCAACTGTCTGCAGAGTCAATAGCTAAAGACCTCCAAACTTCGTGTGGCCTTCAGATTAGCACAACAGTGTGTAGAGAGCTTCATGGAATGGGTTTCCATGGCCGGGCAGCTGCATCCAAGCTTTACATCACCAAGTGCAATGCAAAGCGTCGGATGCAGTGGTGTAAAGCACGCCGCCACTGGACTCCAGAGCAGTGGAGACATGTTCTCTGGAGTGACGAATCACACTTCTCTGTATGGCAATCAGATGGACGTGCCTGGGATTGGCGGTTGCCAGAACGGTACTTGCCTGACTGCATTGTGCCAAGTGTAAAGTTAAGTGGAGAGGGGATTATGATGTGGGGTTGTTTTTCAGGGGTTGGGCTTGGCCCCTTAGTCCCAGTGAAGGGAACTCTTAAGGCGTCAGCATACCAAGACATTTTGGACAATTTCGTGCTCCCAACTTTGTGAGAACAGTTTGGGGATGGCCCCTTCCTGTTCCAACATGACTCCCAGTTCACAAAGCAAGGTCCATATATTCCCCATTGAATCGAAGTCATTACTTAAATGCAAAAATGTTGAGATTGCAATGCTTGTACCCTCCCATTCAAACTTGTTTTTTCAGCACATCCCACAGATGCTCAAATGGTTGAGATCTGGAGAATTTGGAGGCCAAGTCACTACCTCAAACATCTGCATGAATGGCAAGACCCAAGGTTTCCCTGAAGAACATTGCCCACAGCATCACACCGCCTTCCCTGGCTTACTTTAATCCAATACAGCATCCTGGTGCCTTCCCTTCCCCTTGTAAGTGGCGCACACACACCCAGCCCTCCACACGATGTAAAAATGAGATCTAATGTTGTACGGGGCGAGGGAAAGGGTCTATTGTAGCTGGTGAGAAATCGATTGATGCTAAAGGTAAAAATAAACCAGCATTACAGCAATAAAAAAAAACAACATATTCCCCACGTGTTGTAATAAACAGAAGCAAAATAATGAATATAATAAAGCAATACAATAAACTTGATAAGTGATAAAAACTCCTTGTGCAAACAATTACAGTCCATGTCACACTTCACAAATCACACAAACATTCCATCTTTATGTTCTGTGCTTATTTAAGCAAACAAAAGGCTCATCAGATGACCATGACCCCTTATTACTAAAGGGAGTCATGGAAAGCTATGTGAAGGTAAATAGAGCGCTTTGCTTTTACCCATCATGAGCTGTTTCTTGTGTGACACCTTGGCAATTACACACCTTTTTGTAGGCCATCAGTTAAGAATGAACCAGCTGATATTAATTTGCACTGCCAAGGGGCAGGATTGCTTACTAATTACTGATGGAATTCAGCTGGTGTCTTGGCTTTCCATGCCTTTTTGCACCTCCTTTTCTTTATGTGTTCAATATTTTTTCTCCTGTGTCATTCCAGTTTAGTACACATAACTTAATTTCTAAACTTGTATTGGTTTCTTTGCATGTATGGATTGCATAGGTTGTTACCGACATGTGGCAAAAATTTTCATGTCAATAGCACCATTAGAAATATAGTTATTAAAAATGGTGTTTAATACTAATTTTACGTGATACACACACACACACACACGCAAAACTATATTGCCAAAAGTATTGGGACACCTGCCTTTACACGCACATGAACTTTAACCTCCCTAGCGGTATGATTGTGTCCATATTTCTGTGCTGAAAGCAGTATATTTTTTTGCATGGAAATACGTCGTTTTTTTTATTGTAGGCCTGTAATTTTTAGGAATAACTCACTGAAATCTGTCAGAACAAGAGTCTAGTAAACATCCTGGGTATAATAAAACTTGAAACACGAAATCATAAATAATATAATAAATAATCATAAAAAATAATATAATAATAAATGTAATTCAATAATATAATCAAACCAAAAACACTGAAATTTGAAATATAGCGCCAAGTTTGCACATCACTGAGCTTAGTCGCAAAATCGTTTTTAGTGTCTGATGATGAATTTTCCCACAAATCATTATCACTCAATCCTGCAAGTGGTTCTAATTTACTATCGCTGTTCTCTAGCTAGTCTAAAACCGCTTTTGACCTAAAGGGACGCTTTTTGGACGCCATGGACGTTTCTCAGTTTCCAGGCAGAAAGAACAGTGAAAATGCAGGCAGGGCACAGGACAAAGCACTAGGGACAAAATGTATGTGAAATGGGTTGAAACAGTAATGTTTTACTATGTGATTTTAGTGTATTGAGTAAATGTCAGTTTTTAACATTTTTAAATCTCCTGTCGGTTCCGGCCCCTGTACGCCCAGACACTTGCAGGGACCAGAACTCGGATGCCGACATCAGCCAGAAGAGATGGCCGGGGACGCTGCAGGGAACACATCACGGGAGCGCAGGACAAGGTAAGTGCTGCAGGTAATCCCTGAGAATTGCTGCATGGTATTACCGAGTGTAATCCCAAGCTACACTCGGGAATACCGCCAGGAAAGGTAATGACATCCCAGTCTTAGTCCGTAGGGTTCATTGTTGAGTTGGCCCACCCTTTGCAGCTATAACAGCTTCAGCTCTTCTGGGAAGGCTGTCCACAAGGTTTAGGAGTGTGTCTATGGGAATGTTTGACCATTCTTCCAGAAACGCATTTGTGAGATCAATCACTGATGTCGTACATCAGTCCTGTCCTGGCTCGCAGTCTTGGCTGTGCAGGCCAGCCAAGTTTCTCCACCCCAAACTTGCTCATCTCTGTCTTTATGGACCTTGCTTTGTGCACTGGCACACAGTCATGTTGGAACAGGAAGGGGTAATCCCAAACTGTTCCCACAAAGTTGGGAGCATGCAATTGTCCAAAATGTCTTGGCATATCGACTCCTTAAGAGTTCCCTTCACTGGAAATAAGGGGCCAAGCCCAACCCCTGAAAAACAACCCCATACCATAACACACACCAAACTTTACACTTGGCACGCTGCAGTCAGGCAAGTACCGTTTTTCTGACACGTCCAGTGGATTGCCAGACAGAGAAGTGTGATTAATCACTCCAGAGAACATGTCACCTCTGTTCTAGAGTCCAGTGGCGGCATGCTTTACACCACTGCATCCACTGCTTTGCATTGCATTTCTCGGCCATGGAAACCCATTCCATGAAGCTCCCTATGCACTGTTGTGCTAATCAGAAGGTCACACGAAGTTCGAAGGTCTTTCACTATTGACTCTGCAGATAGCTGGCAACTTCATGCTTCAGCATGTGCTGACACCTCTGTCATTTTACCTGGCCTACCGCTGTTGTTCCCAGTTGCTTCCACTTTGTTATAATACCACTAACAGTTGACTGTGGAATATTTAGTAGCAAGGAAATTTCACGGATGGACTTATTACACAGGTGACAACCTATCACGGTACCACGCTTGAATTCACTGAGCTCCTGAGAGCGACCCATTCTTTCACAAATGTTTGTAGAAGCAGCCTGCATAGCATCGAGAAATCGAGATCGTGAGAGAGAGATCGAGATCGAGTGCGAGTGTGTGTAGAGATAGGGAGAGCGCGCGCGAGCCAGACAAAGACACAAAAATAAGAAAAATAAGTCATGTTGGATGGCAAGAGCATTAGTCAAACAAAAATGCCATAAATGTTTCATAATATATACATTAAACTTCACATAAACTGACACTCGGGCACCACATAAAGTCCATGCAATATTTAATTTATTTAAAAAAAAAAAAAACAAAAAACTTTTATTATGCTAACATTATATATCTCAAAGGGACAGTTTTGCCACATATCCACCTACAGTTTACAAATTAATAGCAAAAATTAAACCATGAAAAAAAACGCATATGCCACATTATAAAAACGTGAAACGGTTATGTTTGGGTTGTACTTCACCATTTTTACAACCCATATGATAAGGCCCCTCTCATACTTATCCGCTGTGGTTTCCCAAGTGCGGGTGCAGTGCAAGAGCAGTTTTCATGTGGGTTACCCGCGTTTCACCAATGACTTACATTAGATCGGGCGCTTTTGGCGAATTCTCTGAAAGAGCACCAAAAGTATCGTTTGGTGCACATTCAGAAAATGCACCAAAACTGCCCAAACAAATGGAGGTCCACAACAAAATGCATGTGACCCGCTATTATACAGTATGTATCAAATAACATCAACAATAATAAACTAGTGTGCTGGTAGAAAATTATAATGTAATAAACTAGAAAAGCTACAATTTCTGGTGAAATTGTGTGAAGTGTTCTTGCCTCCACCAGTAGTCTACAACTGGAGTGGGCGGAGTAACTGGGTGGAGTGGCTTGAGTAACTGTTGTGTGGTTGGAGTGGCTGGAGTAACTGTGAAAGGTTGGACTGGGCAGAGTAACTTTATGGAGTGGGCAGAGTAACTGTGTGGAGTGTTTGGAGTAAACATTACACTAACCAATTGATTGATCAAATTTAAAAAGTGCACATGGCAATCTTGATAGTGAGAAATGCATTTCAACTTTTAATTATTTATATAGCACATTTAATTGCAATGTTGTTGTTCAAAGTGCTTCACAGTTACATTAAAACGTACATTTATAAAAACATTAGCAGCATTATCACCTCAAACGCTCTACTGTAGAAAACGTATTTCCAAACCTTTAACCAGAAGTCGGCCAAACTGTCACGAATTCAAAATTAGATTTCAAATAGAGCAGATAAGAGCGGTTAAAAACAAACTGCTCCAAATTGCTCACTTCACTGGCGTCTTCAAATGGTCATAGTTTTAAAAACTATAAATCCTACAGTAAAGAGCTTTATATTATGAGAATCACAAGACCCAGACCTACATTTGAGGCATAGTATGTCTCAAATATTAAAAATGAAGGCACAGTCGCAGTTTAGAAATTGCCCTTCAAATTTGAGGTGGCTAGAGTGTAGTTTCAAGGAATGTCAATGGGCGGCGTGAGTTGCAAACAAATGGTCATATTGTGAAAACTATCAGGACTATGGCTTAGCCGTGGACATTTTTAGTGGCAGCAGGGATAGCTGATCAGTGTGATATATGATTTGTGTAGGTGGGCTTGAAAATGAGGGAGTGGTGGCAGTTTAGAAATCATGTCCTGATTTTTCAGCTCACACTCTAGCTTTTGTCACTCTGCTGCCTGCTCACACACCTGGTTTCCTATGGCAACTCACTCTACAGCAAGGGCAGAGAAGAGCGGTTAAAAACAAACTGCTCCAACTTGCTCACTTCACTGGTGGTTGCCATCTTCAAACGGTTGTAGTTTAAAAATTATAAATCCTACAGTAAAGAGCTTTATATTGTGAGAATCACAAGACCCAGACCTACATTTTGATGCATAGTATGTCTCTGAAATATTAACAATGAAGGCACAGTCGCAGTTTAGACATTGCCCTTCAAATTTGAGGTGGCTAGAGTGGAGTTTCAATGAATGTCAATGGGCGGTGTGAGTTGCAAAACAACTGGTCATATTGTGAAAACTATCAGGACTATGGCTTAGCCGTGGACATTTTTAGTGACAGCAGGGATAGCTGAATGTTTGTAGGTGGGCTTGAAAATGAGGGAGTGATGGCAGTTTAGAGATCTTGCCCTGATTTTTCAGTTCACACTCTAGCTTTTGTCAGCTCCCACTCTAGTTTTGAACATTCCGCCATTCATTCCTATGGGACCAATTTCACCACAAAAACACCGATATTTTGTGAACCATTTGGTGAAACGTTACACAAAGTAATAGCACACCAATCGGGAACAATCCGCACGTTTCGGTATATTACTGTCTATGTAGTGTAAAAACTGTGGGAGGAGTTAGGGTGGTAAATTTGGCTAAAATAATAAGAATATTTATGTGAGATAACAGTAAGTGGTCTTGCCATGCAAGAACTCTTAACTAAACCAACACTTACCTTTGGTCCCCTGTGGCACAACAGGTGTGACTGAAGATCTTTTCATTTGCCCCTGCTGTGTAACTGTAGTAGTGGTTGTTGTCACTACTCGTGTTGCAGATGTAGTTGGCAAGGCAACTGTGCGTCCTTCAGGTTTCTGTCCATAGAGGACTGGCTCAAACAATCTTTAAATTTCCAAGTATTGAAGAAATGAAAACAAAAATAGAATGGTAAATAATGGAATATAAAACAAAATAAGGACGTTATAGTAAGCCATAAAACCCAATCACCTGCTTGGTTTCATTTTCATTCGGCTGGGTCGAGGTGCAGGATCAGGGGAAGTATAAATTTCCTGCATCATTCTTCTAGTAATTTTCTGCTTACAAAGCTGCTGACCTTCACAACGGGTCATTTTATTTTCTAGGCCAAGTAAATCAAATAAAGACAAATCTGTGTTCTAGAAGAGAAAGAAAACAAATAAGATGACATGAACATGCAAATCAAGTGAAAAAATTTGACTTACCTGTATCTTCTTTATCTTGGAGTAGAGTGGAGGACACGACTTATGTGCTTAAGTTTAGTGTACGCATGGATCAAAAATCAGCTGGTTCAGCAGAGACCAACTGAATTCCAATCTGTGTAGCCATCCCGGTTCAACTGACGCCGATCATTAGTTCAGCTTCTTGTGAAGGGTCCTGTTGTAAAACCCCCTTCAATCAGCGGCTTACAATCGGCTGCAGCCCAAACTGGTGCATTTTGACAGTGGGTATTCCCTGCTGTCAGATTACATCATCCCAGCGGGGAGACTCCTGCATCCACACAAACAAAATGGATGGGTGAATGAAAAAAAAAAAAAAAAGATCTAGGTGTGTACCTAGCTTCAGACCTTGGAATATATTCAGCTACCTTCAGGCAACTGGACACTGGCAAAAAAACTTGCTAGGGTTGCCTCCTAAAGGTACCATATGGAAATAATGGAATATGAGTTGCGCGATTCACCAAGCAATAGTGGAATGGGAATCAGGATGCCGTCTCCTAGGGCCTACCGGCAGGACAAAGAAGAACTCAGTCTTGCTAATGGAGACTTTGACTTTCAAGGAGACCCTGACTGCCCCCACAACATCTGGGAAGCCATGCTGTTAAACCCAGCAAATGAGGAGAGGGATGGAATAAGAGGCCATTGGCCAGCAGGTCTGGTCTGTCTGGAAGAGGCAAAGGCTCATCCAACAGACATCGGAGTATGTCTGTGTACAGTGTTCTTCTAGGCCAATTTGGTCCAATGAGAACCACTGGAACGCTTTCCCCCTCTATTTTGCACGGCAGTCAAGAAAAAACAAAAACCAGCTTAAATTTGAGCGCAAAGAATCACCAAAGCAATGTCAACAGACGCCCCCCCTCTCTGAGGAGTGAAGGCATCTCTTCATTGGGAGGAGAGCTTCTGGACTGGCTGAGTGAGGTCCAAGGCTTGCCAGAAAAGGAAATACTAGGCATTGGTTTTGAGGTAAACGGCAGGGGAGAGCAAAAAGTCCCCTCCTCATTCCCATGAGTGCAGGCGACCCTTCATTGTGAGGGGTGCTTCTGGAAAGGCTTGTTGAACCTGGGGAGTTCAGGGCCTGCAATGAAAGGTGGTACTAAGCCTTGGTTTGGATGTAGAAGTCTGAGGAGCGTGCAACAAACTTGTTTTGCTAAGAAAAAGAACCAAAGTTCCCTCTTGCTTGAGGATTTAATTGAGGGAATCCCGAACTATGCATTCACAATCAAAAGGCATGAATAGAAGACACTTTTACAAGCAGATTCAGCAGACCAAGCTTAACACCACAAACTCCTGCACACATGCACAGAGATAAACATTCTAGAGACTTGGTGAATCACATGCTCTGGAGCATCAACACAAAACAATAATGCTTGGGGCATCGGCTATAATTGTTTTAAGAAAGCAGTGTCCTCAAAGGTAGGTTCATGTTATCTATTCATATGTCCTGTCCAGTTAGCAATAGTCTGGCTGGCAAATGTACCTAGCATCAATAGCATCAATAAATAGCTGAAGAACGTGATATGCAAGGGCAAAGAAGGACTTTTAAAGGGCATAGAGATGCCTAACAACAGACTGCATAAAAGAGGGTACATCCTCAACTGATACTTTAGTGTTTTCTTAGAGAACTGAAGTGTCAGGACTCACCATTGAAAACGTCAATTTCTTTTTAAAATCCTTTAAGGATAAATCTCGGTAAAAAAGCTTGGGAGGAGTGAAAATCATTTTAGGACTGGGCCAGTCTTCAAAGTGCACTATCAGTCTGTGTGTATTGAAAAGGTCTATCTTGACTTTCTTGCCAGTCTCTTAGTGTCCGTAGGAGCATTATAGGCTTTCTGGGCTTTGGAGAGTCACATGCTTTTACGAAAACACTGACATGAAGCAGAAGGCTGACACAAGACGTAGCATTTCTGGCCTCTGGAAATCAAAAAGGTACTAGAAGTGCTGGGAGTTTTCCCAAAGCGTTCAGTCATAGTGGCAGAAAAATCTGCTTCTGTTAGATAGGCCACATGTTGTGCACCTGAGCGAAAACTAGAATTAGAAACTTGGAGTGGTGTGACAACAGGCATTGCTCCAGGACAAAGAAACAGCCATCACCCTGAGCAGTGGTTAGTTTCCTGTAGGTGGTCTATGTAACGCAAGGTATCGGGCCCTTTTGTCCCAGCGCAAGGTTATGGAATTTTGAATGGATGGGGTTGTGAGTCCAAATATAGGTGCTGCTTTAACCACTTGCCTACTGGGCACTTTTACCCCCTTCTTGCAACACTGTACCCATATGAAATTTTTATCTCTTTTTTCACACAAATAGAGCTTTCTTTTGGTGGTATTTAATCACCAAAGCTGGTATTTAATCACCGAGTGTTTAATTTTTTGCACTATAAACAATAAAAGAGAAAAAAAAATTCAAAGAAAGAAAAAATGGTTTTCTTTGTTTCTATAATAAAATGTTGCAAACAGGTAACTTTTCTCTTTCACTGATGTGCATTGATGAGGCTGCACTGATGAGGTGGCACGGATAGAGACAGAACTGATGGGAGATGCTGACTGACGGCACTGACTGACGGGTGGCACTGATGGGCGCAACTGCTGGGCAGCACTGCTGAGTACACATGGGCACTGGTGGGTGGCACTGCAGGGTACTGATCATCATTACTGATCTGCTCAGTGACAGATCCAGATTATTGGCAGTCCTTTCCTCACGCTGTGAGTGTGTGAGGAAAGTGCTGCCGATAACCGGCAACTGTACTGTATTTACTCGGTGATCTGCTGTGTCAGTGGACACAGCTTATGTGGTAAAAGACCGCTGTGATTGGCCTTTTACCTCATCACATGTTCGTAGGACACGATCACGAAGATTGCTGGGTGCGCGCTTCTAGGGGCGAGAGAGAGGGCGCATTCTGGGAGGACGTCATATGGCGCCCTCCCAGAACTGGACAACCAAGCTGTAGCCGTCATTCGGCTAAATCGCGGTAAGCAAGTGGTTAAAGTGTTACTAAACCCAAAACAGTAAAATCAGTCTGTATATGCAGTAAAGCATGCTTGTTATGCTCACTGTGGAACCTTAAGGGGTTAATCCTCTGCACTGTGTAAAAAAAAAAACAGTTTGATCCTGTTTTCTCTGCCCCTCCTCTTGTTCAAATGTCCACATCTTATCTCCTGATAAGACAGACTGAACCCCTAGCCACATGCACAGTTCAGTGTGTATTGCTAGAGAGGTTTTTCTTTTTCTTGGGAGAGTACATGTGATCAGCACAGGGCCAATCAGCACTGTCCAGACAGAGATCAGGGATCCTGCATCCACCAAGAACAGAAAGAAAACTCCTCCTAAAAGCTTTAACCAGTGCTCTGCTAAACACTGATAGAAGTCACAGGACTGCTCTAACTACTGATGAAAAAAAGTATTTAGCAGTTTACATATACTAAAATAATTGCAATTTCCATGTGCTGCGTACTCTGGGAGACCAGATATAGTGAATGCAGGGTCCTGGGTTTAGTAACACTTTAAGCTAGGTACTGACCATGTTCCAGGGCTGTGTCTCTGTAGAAGACGGCAGCAAGAGTACAACAACATTCTGTGTGCATTTATGGCAGAAAAAGCAGGCTGGAAGGCATCATCCAGGAGGTGTGATGCAGTTACCTAATATAATGGGCTAGGCCTGCAGGTTGTTTTGAGTAAAAGCCTAGAACCAGTGTAAACACACAGGAAAAACCCTGTACTAACTTTTTCATGATGCTGGGACTACTAGAAGTGCCCATCACTGTGTATATATGCACAAAGGGGTGTTCAGGGTCTGGGAACCATGGAAATGGAGCACGGCCCTGGACCTGCACAGCACCCTACGGTTAACTACACATGTTGCACTACATGACATGATGAACACATAATGCAGTATTCAATGTCCAAAGCACACATTACAGGCTGGCCCCTTACAGTGTGGACCAGGTACATTCCTTTATGTACACATCAAGGGTAACTGATCCAGAAACTGTTAGATAGCCAAGGTCAATAAGTAGTCATGTCTTGATAGCAGTTTCAGAGAAAAAACAATGTTTAGAAAAAGAAAAATATTTCTCCAAGAGGGAAATAATATAGGCTGTTGAGAGTCAGGTGCTGTTGGACAAAGACTAGCATGCACTTGCAAAAATTAGTGTGTCCACAGTAGTGAACAATTAGGCTTCATGTACACTAGCCTACCCTAAAAACCGGCCGTGGGAAAACACAAATCTCGGCAAAAATGCGGTACCATGGTTGCCACATTTTGCGGTTTCCAGTGGTCGGCAGTCAAATATTCCTATCCTGAACGCGATTCTTCTTCATTCAGCAGAGGGAGGTTTAACCTCACCTAAACACAGCAGCTCCTATTCTCTGCTAAAAGCCTATGTGTACATGGACACACAGGCTTTTATGGAGTTGAATTTAGGAACTTTGGCAAAAAAAAAAAAAAAATGCCAAAAAGCTCCTAACTCAAGTTTAGGAGCTGCTCGTGTGCATGAAGCCTTAGCATGAAACCTCAGTTTGTTCCTTATAAAATGCAGGGAAAGAAAACCTTTGCAGCCTCTGCAAAGACTGGAACATGCATCATTTGGTGCATCCACAGTAGACAGCATTTAGCAAGAAGCCGCAGCTTGTACCTCATAAAAATGCAGAGGAGACAAAATCGGCTAAGAACAATAGCAAAATATTGGAGTCTTGTGAGGTTATATGGTGTACTCTGGGATTAGCCCAAAAAGGTGTTTCCTACCTGTGTCCATTCTACGATTGAGATAGTTGAATATATACTATAGCTAATCTTCTGTCTGTGTACACTGAATGCTAACAAGTACTCAAAGCTATTTTCTTTGAAGAAATGTAAAATTTGTAGACAGGTTTCTAGCGCAAGTGAATGAAAATTGTAACAGATAACATTTACCATAACAGATTAGTCATATAAATGATTGAAGATTAATGTCCATTAGATTTCCATTTTGCTCCTACACAAATTTCAAGCAGTATTATAATTCGAAATTAGAAAACCTACTGCAGCGTGTTTTGAAGCATGTTAGCCTTCAACAGGAGAAAGTGTTTTCTTTATACACAAACACAGCACGTGCAAAACAAGAAGAATCAACCCACTCTGTTTTGCAGGTTCAGAACTAATTCCAAAACAAACTAGCACATACACAATTTTAAAGGATCTTCTTGAGAAACTATTTCCTTTATTCTTTGAGTGCTGTTTCTACAGTGTTTCTCAAATTATTTCTCAAATTATTTGGGAGACTGAGCACAAACAAAGTCCATAGTCTATATCTATACCTTCTTAATGAGTTTAGCAAATCACTGTGAATATCTGCTCACCTTCCAGGGGTCACATTCTAAAGCCTTCAATACTAAAGACGCGGTTTCATATTGCAGAGCTTCACATGCATATGAGGAATGTCCAGGCCGTGGATCCACCAGATCTGGATGGTTACAAATCCTTTGCAACTGCGTCAGGACGTGAAGAACACTGACAAAATGGCCACCCTTTAAGGAATCCTGAGTTCTGACCAAGAACAAAAATAACTGTTGATACTAAAAGATGTTCTCAAAATATAACTACTGCAAAAAGACATTACCGATTTCTGCCTAAGCCTGTAGAAACTCTTACCCAGGCTGCATCATGATATCTTCATACAAGACCTTTTGGCGGTTTGATAATTGACACTTAAGTACATGCTCAAATTTCTTGTTTAGCTGCCTTTCCACATCTCTTTTGGTCCGTCGCAATATAAAAGGTTGAGTGGACTGGAAAAAAAAACAATAAATCTGAATGGCATACCTACACAAAATAATATGCACTAACAAAACATAAAAAGATATTCCAGCTCTAATCAAACAAAAATTTAGAGACGAGTGGACAATGCCTCAGGTGACTAGATCATTTGACATTACTCTTCAGGTTAAAACCTTCTTCCAATAACAAATTGCAAGGAAGTCTGTTGGCTGTTTCCATTTAATGTCCCTGACACAAGAAATGTCACAACAAAAAATTTAATATGATAATACAACCATTCGCTGGTCCATATAGAAAACACTGCTCATCAGAAACAATTAGTTCCAATGTGGCACTAGGTCTTGTTGCTCTCACAAAGCAGTGTATACTTGAAACCCTCACTGAGAAGAAGAAAAGACCAACCTGGTGCATTATCATAAAAACACTTTATTAAAAGAAACAGTCTAAATGCACTAACATGCAGTATATAGGATGCAGACATATTAATGGCCCTGCTGAATAAGTAATAACGCCTGAACAGGAAACAGAACAGCGGCTAATGGTATTCTGCTAGTAAGCAGAACTTTTTTGCTTTGTTTATCCCGCACTGTCAGGAGCAGAACGGAGGACTTTAACATCGTACAGTACCATGTCAGTTGCAAGTGGGTGTAATTAGTTTCCGATAATGTACTTGAGGTTGGTACACTTTATTTTCATTTTATGTGCAACACAAAGAAACAGCTGAGAAATTGAACTTTTCTTTCACCCGAGTTTCTATTAATTACCCGATGCAATCGAATTGAAATGGTATGTCGGTATTCTTGGTCCTGGTCACTGCCCTCCTTCACTGGGAAATCCAAATAAGTTCTAGACAAGCCTGGAATAAGGAAATGTACCATGGTCCACAGGTCCTTCCACGTGTGTGGTAACGGAGTGTCTCGGAGAAGCAGCCGCCGTTGACTAAACCACAAAAATAGAAAACACAGGAAACATACTACAAATGATGCTACCACCATGCAACACATATCCATCCTTTTAATTCTCTGTATTTATATTATTTTCTATCCCTGTTAAACCTCTACATCCCAACCACAGCACCACCTGCCTGGAGTTTGCATGTTCTCCCTGTGCCTGCGTGGGTTTCCTCCCACACTCCAAAGACATGTAGGTAGGTTAATTGGATCCTGTGTAAACTGGCCGTAGTATGTGTATGAATGTAAGTTACGGACCTTAGATTGTACGCCCCTTGAAGGTTATGGACTGATGTTAATGCAAAATATATATGTAAAGCGCTGCGTAAATTGACAGCAAGTACCTGTAATAATAATAATACATCTACACGTCTTCTTTTTCACCCCATCCCCCCAGATATATATTAATGAGCAAACCTTGGAAGATTCAATATAGCATCCCAGTGCTTCTCATTCATATTTCTGATCTGATGGACCTCATCTAGCACTAGATACTTCCATCTCATTTTCATGAAGGCCTGGAGTCCTTTAAACAATTGCTTGTAGGATGTGATGCAGACATGGAAGCTGTTGGGTTCATTCCAAGTCTAGAATAAAAATGTATATAATTAGTACATTTTTTAAAAATGTATAAAAGAATTTAATATCTTTTATGTGATACAGTACCTGACGTTTCCTCCTGAGCTCTCGCTGACTACCAAAATACAGTAGCAGTTTAAGTGCTGGGCACCAGCGTTTCAGTTCCAGCTCCCATTTAAGAATGTTGCAGCTTCGTGCAACAATTAGATGTGGACCCCATACACCTGAGAATAAATTGATAAAATACTTTTTAAATAGGTGTAGAACTTGTTTTTTGTAAATAGAATGTGGAATGTCATTTTTGCGAGGGAATTTCAATCACTCAGCTAGGAGCAAAGACTTGAGGTTTTACAAAGTTTTTAACCCTTCTTGATCCTATTTTAAACTAGAAAAATAAAATGAGCTGTGATTGAAATTTCACTTTAATGTTCTGCTAGTTTATTACTCACCTTCACTGGTGGCCAGATGAGCTAAGAGAGCTATCACCTGGACATTCTTGCCCAGTCCTGACTCATCTGCCAGTATCCCATTAAGATTTTTTCTGTACTGTTTAGCTAACCAATCGAGCCCAATCATTTGATAATCTCGAAGTTTGCCGTGTAGAAGTGGTGAAGCAGAGGTTTTCACCTGAGAATATTATAAATCAAGTTGATAAGTTTGCTTAAAAAAGAAAAATTTTAAACTTAACTAAATAGATACCAACAACTCTCCACACTTGGCCTTGTTCACACCACACGTGCAGAAAAAAATTATGGAAACGGATGTGCAGATTTCACTTGAGAGACAACAGTTTACATCAGTTTTCATGCACGCTACAATGAGTTTTATACACATTGCAGATTCCTGCGCAGAAAAAAATCTGCACGTGATACCAGTGTTGTGGATTTCGTTGTGTCCTTGCAGAACGTGCGCACAAAAACTGTGATCCCCTAATGAGATTTAAAGTTGAACATTATTGTAGATAGACAACATTTGCATGGTGTTGTATTGCAGGCCAAAATAACACATTTACCTTTACCAGGTTGCTTTTTGCCTCATAATCATTCATTTATATGTAGTTATTTGTGTCAGAAGGTGCTTATTAGAAGCAAACTGAAAGTAATAAATAAGCTACCATGGAATTGGAAAGCACTGTCTGTTTTCAGAGCTTTCTGACACTGACAAGCATGCCCAGAAAGCCATAGTGAAATCAGAACTTTTAAATCCGAACACTTGTAACTCCAATTGTTGAAACACCAATCACAAATCACCAACCAGTATGGCCACAAGGAAACCTGCATTTTCAGAAGAGGCAGCAATAGTAGTCTTCATATTATTCATTTATTTAGAGTACTTGTACATAAAACTAAATCACGTAACAGAGCTAGTTGAAAGAAACATGCAAGAAAGATCTTACTTTTTTTTTTTTTTTTTAAATGTGACCAACCAAATGATACACAGATCAACATGCTCACCATCCCAGAGACACGTGCACTACCACGAGGCAGTAATAGTTCTGCAGCACCAGCCACTTCAGCAATGTCACGATTGTGTTTCCGTGAACCTACATGGGCAGCACTACTTCCAGTCAGCAGAGAGTCTATGAGAACCATCTGCTTCTGTGCACTATCTGAACCTCTGTCACATTCTGAAAACATACAAAACAGCAATAAGTTACATTATTAGCTGTAAAGAAGGTAATGCTACCATCCTACAAAAGCCTAATATGCTATACATTTGTTGCCCTTGCACTATTTGTAGATCATTATTTCCCCAAGTCACTAAAGTTGTTCTGTCACAAATCCTATAAATGTATCAAAAACATAATATACTACACTATATTGCCAAAAGTATTGAGACACCTGCCTTTAAATGAACTTTATTGACATCCCAGTCTTAGTCCGTAGGGTTCAATATTGACTTGGCCCACCCTTTGCAGCTATAACATCTTCAACTCTTCTGGGAAGGCTGCCCACAAGGTTTAGGAGTGTGTCTATGGGAATGTTTGACCATTTGTGAGGTCAGGCACTGATGTTGGACTAGTAGGCCCAACTTGCAGTCTCCGCTCTAATTCATCCCAAAGGTGTTCGATCAAGTTGAGGTCAGGACTGTGCAGGCCAGTCAAGTTCCTCCATCCCAACTCGCTCATCATCCGTGTCTTTATAACCTTGCTTTGTGCACTGGTGGGCAGTCATGTTGGAACAGGAAGAGGCCATCCCCAAACTGTTCCCACAAAGTTGGGAGCATGAAATTGTCCAAAATGTCTTGGTATGCTGACGCATCAAGAGTTCCCTTCACTGGAACTAAGGGACCAAACCCAACCCCCGAAAAAACAACCCCATACCATAATCCCCCTCCATCAAACTTTACACTTGGCACAGTGCAGTCAGGCAAGTACCGTTCTCCTGGCAACCGCCAAACCCAGACACGTCCATTGGATTGCCGGACAGGGAAGCGTGGTTTGTCATTCCAGAGAACACGTCTCCACTGCTCTAGAGTCCAGTGGCGGCATGCATTACACCACTGCATCTGACGCTTTGCATTGCAATTGGTGATGTAAGGCTTGGATGCAGCTGCTCAGCCATAGAAACCCAATCCATAAACCTCTCTTATGCACCGTTGTTGTGCTAGTCTGAAGGTCACAGGAAGTTTGAAGGTCTTTAGCTATTGACAGTTGGCAACTTCCACTGCGTTATAATGCCACTGACAGTTGACTGTGGAATATTTAGTAGAAAGGAACTTTCAAGGATGGAACAGGTGGCAACCTATCACGAATTCACTGAGCTCCTGAGAACGACCTATTCTTTCACAAATGTTTGTAGAAGCAGTCTGCATGCCAAGGTGCTTGATTTTATACATCTGTGGCCATGGAGGCGATTGGAACACCTGAACCCAATGATTTAGAGGGGTGTCCTAATACTTTTGGCAATATACTGTATATCACAAAGATTGTCACAGAGATTTTTCACTACAAAAATTATAGCTAGCTTTTGCCTGGCTGTAACAGAGTTTCTATAAAATGGTTATTGACCAAAACAGCAAAAGGAGACATTTGAGGTGAAACGAGAAAAACAAGAAAAAATTACAGATGCAAACTAAGAGGGTTTTATTGGTTAAAGGCTCCTATTTTTCCCCTAAAAAAACAAAAAAAAAAAAAAAAAAGACGTTTATACTTACCTTAACTATGCAAGGATAGTGCACAGAGCAGAGCATCCCCTTACCTCCTCTTCTGAAGAAGTCTTCCACCGACGTTGTCTGCGCCTTCTCTCCTGCCTGTGCCCCCATAGCAAGCTGTGTACTATGGGGGCACATGTGTAGGCATGCTCCCAAGCTGGGCTGTGTGCATGTCATGCCCCCTGCTCCATCCTCATCAGATCTGACTGACAGCAGCAGAAGCCAATGACTCCTGCTGCTAACAGTCTGTCTTGTGAGAGCAGGAAAAGAGAGAGAGAGGGGGGGGGGGGGATAGCAAGTGGTTGTAAAGGTAAAAGTTTTTTTTATACCTTAATGCATTCTCTGCATTAAGGTAAAAACACCTTTTTAATAATAGCAGGCCCTCCAGTGTACATACTTACCTGAGCCCAATCTCAATCCAGCGCTGCGCACATCTGCAGCAGTTCTTCTCTCTCCCCCATCTCACAGACTTGGTTGAGAACAGCAGGAGCCATTGGCGGCTGCAGCTATGGGAACATGTTATATGTGCCACCCTAAAAAAGGGTGGAACATATAACATGTTCCCAAAGGTGAATATATCCTTTAAAAGGTAATAAAAAACCTTCTGACTTTAGAACCCACTATAATTGATCATTTTATGGGGGGAAAATAATGACTGCCCAAAAATTATGAGATGAAACACATTATGAAAAGACTTTGTGAATTTACTGTCAAACATAAAAACACAAATAAAGAAAACAAACAAGTTTGGGAAATAGACTGACAAGGCACCCTATGATCTAGAGCACCTTATGGACACAAATAATTTAGAAAGGGTTTTAAAAAAAAAAAAAAAAAAAAAAAAAAAAAAAAAAAAAAAAAAGGACAGAAGCATTAAACAATTTCACACAAAGAAAAACAAAGAAACCCTTCATATTCTTCGATCATTATTGCCACCGCCAAAGACAAATCAAGTAAAAACTAAGGCTAGGTTCACATTAGGGCAGGCGGTACGAAGGCATGTCATTGCATGCCTTCACGCACTAGCAGAAAAAAATGCAATGCAGTTTAGGAGATACCTTTAATCTAAATTGCACCCCCACGCACTAGAAAACACAGCGCAGTTTCCCACACTGCTCTATGCAATTTCCCTGCAGCCAGATTTTCTGAAAAGGTGCAGGGACCTTTTCCCTGTGTTTTCAGTGGGTACAGCAGACCATTCAAACAAATGTTCCCATAGCTGCAGCCGCCAATGGCTCCTGCTGTTCTCAAACGAATGGGCTGCTGTGCCTGAGCAAACCCGGCCCTGGAGAAACCATATAGATGTGAACCAGGGCTCAAAGACTGAAATTATTTTTACCTAATTAGGTCATACTTTACAAACTCTGCAAGAAAATCTACAAACTAACCTTTATTTTCAGTTACTTTATAAGCATTCCCTGAGATAACTGGATCCTGAAAAATAGAAAAAATTAAGAATGTAATTTGGAAGAAAATGCTGATTAAAAGTCCAAATTGAGAAAACAAAAAATATTACATATTGATTTTATACACAAAATGGAACAATGTTCAAATTACCGATTGCAAAGCCAGTTAACAAAGTCTCATAAGCATATAATCTGTACAAGTGGTATAATACAAGTAGTATTTAAAGTGATTTAAAATGTCATTTTTGTGTTTTTGCGGTAACAAACCCGTCACATTTGCATGCACTATGCAATGGTTTTGCGCAAAAAAGCACCAAAGCTCTTCTTCTCGGGTCCCCTGCCAGCACTTCCGGCCCTTCCCCCCCATTGAGTGCCCACCCTAGCAAGCTGCTTGCTATGGGGGCACTTGTGTGGGCACAAAGCCGAGACATCACACACACACACCCCCCCCCGCTCCCTCGCTGTGATAAGACAGCAGCAGGAGCCAATGTCTCCCGCTGCTGGCTCTAAGCCAATGAGGAGTGACAGAGCCGAGAGAACCCGGGCTCTTGTATACATCACTGGACTGAGATCGGCTCAGGTCAGTATAAAGGGGGCCGGGCGGGGAAGCAGGAATGCATGAAGGTAAAAAACCTTCTGCCTTTACAACTACTTTTAAAAACACAAAAAAATGAAAAGTGGCAATCTAGTTAGTCTATTATGTATCTAAGGAACAACTTTATATAATAACTGCCCAAAAGGAGGTCAGAAGCAGCATGGTGCTAAATTGAACCACCCAGCTTTTGGCTGTGCCAGGCAATTTTTACATTTATTTTGTTCCCAATGGTGTTCCAAGCACATATTCTTTCGTTGAAACAATTGGGAGAGTCAAGTTAGGCTAAACCACTCATCCCCATGGCATGTATCCCGGGCATATGAATATACAAGTACAGCATTTTCCAAAAGAACAGAGAGCAGACCAAACTTGCCTACTTCATTCACTACCTGTCTCTTTTGGCCAGTAAGTCCGAAAATAATGTCTGGGGGGAAATGCATCGCATTTATGTACATTTTTTTAAAACTTTTTTTCATGTTTGTTGTGCAACAGCACAGGGCAGTCAGTTCACTTAAATGGGCTGCCCTATGCACAACAAACATGTTAAAGTAGCTCCTGCACCTTCTTTGGGCAGTGAGCTTCCCATGTTTTTGTACCGCACATTTTGGGTATCATTTTGAGAAAAATAGGTCTTAAAAGGAACTCATTTTGCATACCGTGTTTCATATATTTAGCTGTATAAAAAGCTTTCGCTGTGACTTACCAAACATCTCTTTGTTCTCCCTTGCTGGTTAGCTCTTTTAGTTTCTTGGCCTAGAAGCAGTTAAAAATAATTACAAACTTAAATATAATAGCTCTGAGTTCCAAATTTTAGAGCTCAATTCTGTGATGGTAAAGGTGGATGGTAATAGCTGGGCTTCGCTTAGCAACATCCTAGTAACATCCCGGGTGTTTGTAAATGGCCTACACTTATAGTAAGGCCATTATTCAACTTTAGTCAAAGCTGCACAGCTTGTTTTTACCTACAGATGCCCTTTATCTGTATAGGCAGTTTCTTGGGTAAACTAACCCTTTAACCATGAATGATGGCACTAGAATTACTGCTCTGACTTATTTCTTTATATTTTCAAGTCACAGAAGAACAACCAGGTCCTCTATTATAACGCACCATATGGTCAAGAAGTGTTGTACACATACATACATGAGATCATCTTTGATTCCCACACAGGGAAACATTAGTATCAGTAGTCCAAAAAATGTAAATAGCAGAAGCATCATGTCAAAAATAATATGACTTGTTATGCCCCAAGACCTCTATCAAAGGCTAAGGGAGAAGGTGAGATGAGGTGGCAAAGGTCCTGCCTGTGCAAGCTGAGCAAGAGAAGAAAAAAAAGGTGGGGGGAATAAGACAGTATAAGCGAAGGGGGCAGGAATAAGGGAGTATGTGTGCAACTCAAGGAAGGCTGACCAACGGTTTCTAGTGTGGTCTCTGACATCACCAGAGTGGGATTGTGTTCAAAAGAGTCATAACTGTGAGCCTAAATTAACCTGGTATTTGTAAATGTAAATTCAGTCCAGAAAAACCAAGTTTTGCAGGCTCACTACTCTCTATGATGCGTCGTCACCATACGTTTCTCCATCTGCTTAAGTTAGTTTATTAGCCTAGTGGTTTCCCTGTTAAAGTATAACTAAAGGCAAAACTTTTTTTGTAGTTTTGTAGTGCAGGGGGGTTATAATTTCTTGTAAGTTTTTATTTTTTTCTGTGCCCCCATTAAGGAGGTTCAACCTTTCTATTTGTCCTGTTTACCATTATTATTGAAAGTGAAAGAAAAGTGCAAATTTTGGGTTCTCTCCAGAAAAGTAACTGCAGGGAAATATTCCAATGGGACACTAGTTCTGGTGACCTGGGGGTCCCCAAGGAATTCCTCTAATTTGTAGTTTGGCTATGGGACAGGAAGTGAAGGGAAATCTCTGCAATGGGACACAGACTGCGAAAAAAAAAAAAAATCTGGCAGGGGTTATAACCCTCCCTTACTCTATCCAAAATGAAAAACGTTTTTCCTATAGTTCTACATTAAAGAGGGTCATGAGCAGATCCACAGAGGACATATACAAATTCCCCATTATCAAATTCCTTGCAATGGGGAAACACCTTTATAGCGCTTCCAGTCCACGCAGAGGAACACCTCAAAAAGCGATATAGAGGAAAGGTGTTTGCAGCTGTAGGATCGCTGAAAGAAAGAAAACTGGACATAGCAGGCAGATACTCCACATGCAGATTGACTTTGCAGGGGAAGGTGCAGAATCGCCCTCACAGCCTCTATGGTCAATGCTTGTTAGGAAACGGGTGAAGTTGGCCACAAAGTCTTAAGTGATGGCGGTAGAGGTCCCAGACAACACATGGGGTATCTGGTCTCATCCAACGGAGCCAAGAGAAATTCCAGTGAACACCCTATAATCAAAGAATAGCATGATTATAGACATTAGTGACCTCAGAAGACATAGTAAATGTCCTTGAAATTGTTAGAAGAGCGTGAGCTGGGGTCATCCTTTGCAGCAAGCCTCTGTGTCCATGTGACAGTGATGCAATTCACTCTGGGCATGAGGCAAAGCTTCAGGTACTCCAAGACTCACGTAGCAAGTAGTTGATGAGGGTCTGAAGGCCAGATATGAACAAAATCACTGTAGATAGGCAGCAAGAATAGACCACAGTTCGGAGTTCTGCATGGCTTAGGTTGACACTGAATGGCAGAAAAGAGGGCACAAGAAGCTTGGTAGCTTCTAGTGCTGAGTGAGTTAAGAGGGCAAATGCAGAGGCAATGACAGCAGCTATGGACTTGGAAAGTGCTCTGCCATTAACTTATTAGCAGAAAGGGGTCTTGAAAGCACCCAACATGGAACCCTTTGCCTGAAAGTCATTTACAGGCTAGCACTGCAATGTCCAGACCAGTGGGGACTGGGTACAGCACTCCAAAATAGTTGATCTGGATAAATGTCTAAGACCAGGTCAAGCAGCAATGTAGCAAGAAACCTTGAAGAAAAAAGCCTTGAAGAATCAAAGAATAAAGATAGCAAACATGGTTAGACTGTCATGGGTTGGCCTCCAGAATTTTTGTTTGACAGTGTACAAATATCCTGTTAGCGGCTGTATAACCCCACACTATAAAATTTCCTGTGTCCCTCACCGGACGAGAAAATAACAAAATGATTATGCTTTAGGACAGCAATATATTTAACAAATGTATGTTTTATTATTAAGGAACAGGCATACCTTTTTCTTTTTCATGTCTTGAACAGAAGACTTTCCTTCTTCTCTCTTGTAATTGCACCTGAAGTTTTATCTCCACCACCTAATTGGAAAATAAAGCATATGTGTGCAAGAAACATCCATACAAACATACTGTATATACCCACACTTTTTTCTATGCAAATAGCATATTTTCATTACTTAGTAACAGTACAGCCATACGCACGCCCTCATGTGTCAATGTTGGGGCCTGATGATAGGTTGCTGAGGCACTAGGCATAGCAGTCTGGGATGTGGGATAGAACATTGACTAGTCCTAACCAGTAAGCCAAGACTTCAACCTATACTCTTAGATCTTAAAAGTATATGCTGATACCATAAGACAAATGGTTCACAAATCAGGTTGAGGGTGAAAGTTTTTCACCTTCAGGAAAGTCAAAAGCAGTCCAGCTGAGAGGTGAGCAGCACAGCAACAAATGATAGCAAACCCAAGAAACCAAGAAAAAACTGGGGTCTGTCTGCAGCTCAAGGAGCTACCAGAAGGACCTTATACCCAAAACTGGCTTACAAGGTACACCAACTTTTTAAGTGGACATAGGGAGAAGAATGACTCAAAAAGGGGTTTAAAGGCCGTTTTTGAAGAGCAGTGAGAAACAGGTTTAGATCCCTGTAGCCAGAGGAACAAGCATGGGGTACTACATGGAAGACTCCCTACAAAAGGTCTTATTAAAGGTTTGAGAGAGAGAGCGCAAGAGAAGAAACCTGACACTGGAAAGTGCTGGTCCAGATCCAACTGTAGAAAATAGGATTCATTTCATGAAGCATCTACTAGGATGACCAAGTGGAGTATGCCTTCCATGTCCAATGATAGACATTGCCAGAAGTAGACTTCCTTGCTTTCAGCACAGTGGGGATCACCAACTTTAAGATGCCCCTGCACCCCAGAATCTGAGCTTAAACACCCATGCTGTTAAAGCCTGCAGACATAAAGCAAGATGGTAAATCTGTCCTTAGGACAGAAGAAACAAGCAATCTGACAAAACCTACAGAGTGTCCGCTAGAAGCCTAACTAGATCAGAGCACATCCACCTGACCAGTCTGGAGCTAGAAGGATCACCGGAATGCCCTCCATCTCAATCCTGAAAAGCAGACAAGGAAGAGGTTTCAAGAGAAGAATGGCACAGATTAGAGTATACTTTCATTGTAAGAACCCTGGAACTGAAGACAAACCTTTCCAGTTTGTAGCTGAACCTGGAAGCCAAGTCCACGTCTGACATCCCCTACCTTTAAAACAGGCCCTGGGACACTTCCGGGACTCCCTCGAGTCCAGATGCTACCAACAGAGTAGATCTGCCTGGCCAATGCCCATGCCTGGAATGTACACAACGGGCAAGGCTGGAACATGAAGTTCCATCCAGAAAAGCATGGGCTCTACCTCTGTTGCCGCCGCAAGACTTCCTGTTCCTGCTCAGAAGTTGAAGTACGTCACTGTCGTTACATTGTATGATTGAAGCTGGATCAGTTTCTATTCCAAGCAAGATGGACCAACGCAGCAGAGAACCATATCACCCGAAGCTCCAGAATGTTAATTGTGAGACAAGATTCTTCTCAAAGTTCCTTGTATTTATAGGGTGTCCCAGCCAGCATCCATTGTAAGCATCTTACAGAAGGTGGGAAAGAAAGACTTCCCTGCAGAGCTGGATTTCGGAGTCACCAAACCAGAGAAAACCTAGTTTTTCACACTAAGCAACAACATGTAGGTTGTGGGAGTGATGTAACAAAAAGGCACTTTTCCTAACCTTCAGTGAAGGATGAATCTTCTCAGTCTGTGCCTTAGGGTTCTGTAATGGAGGGGAATAAGTGCTCATGCCAACAGCCGTATCCTTGATAACAGTATCCAGAGCAGATCTGAAGTGACTTTGCCCACTGAAGGCCAGGGGGAGCAGGTATGTTTTTTTTAGATGCATTTTCCACAGCCTAGTACTTTTATAACTGCATCCTCCACATGTGTACTGACAAGACCCAGGCAGGAGATGAGACATGAAACCTCCATTACCCCATCACAACTATGGTTCAAAGCAACAATCATTTGCACTAAGCATTCAATGACCAAGGGATCAACCGCAGTAGTGACAAGATACCATGTAATGGACTTTGACCAATTAGCAAGTTTGGCAAAGTAAAATCACAGCTAACACTGGATGAATACCAGACAGCAAGAACAGAGCTCTATGAAAGGCTTCCAACCAGTTATCAGTTGGGTCCTTAAAGACAGCTGCATCCTTCAACAAAATGGTGGTTAGTTTGTTAAAGCGGGACTAAGCCCGATCTACAGTGGGGGCAGACCACTTTTAACAAAGTCCTCTTTAAAGGAACACAATACTAGTGAGCACTTGTGTGAAGCACATAGCTTGTCTGGGTGTTTCAAATACCCGTATAGGAAAATCGTTAACAGTGGGTGCACTTGGAAAGTCTTTGTGGTCTTAGGAGATCTAAAGAAACAATGTTTGGAAATAAATGATGGTGCAGAGCAATCTCAGCAACTAATCTGGTGCCTGCGATAATCCCTTATGTATTGGTACCACAACCTCAGTGCTGTTCAAATATTCATCAGGTACATAAACAACTATAATAAATATTATATATAGAAAATCTTTAAGCTCAAAATATTGCACTGATGTAAAGTGCATAACCAAATTAACATATGGCAAAAAATTGACGACACAGCCTGTGAGTAACCAGTGTGCGAATAAATATCTGTATTGGATTAGTCCTTAATTTCAAAAAACCTCACTGCTGTGATAAAAGGTTAATATTGTGCTCCAATATCCGTGGAGAGTGGCTGCTCACCTTCATATAACACCCACACTCTCATATAGGTCAAACTCACTTTGTCAGTCTCCCATGGACTACATCCTGCTATCCCTCCACTCACCGGTCTCTCTAGCAGATCTTTAAGAGCTCTCAATCAGAACCATTACTTGCTCAAAAGGGAAAAAATAAGAAAGGTGGGGCTGCCCATAGTGTAGTAGTTAAAATGATATTTTATTATAAACAGCGTACCACCCACATTTACAGTAGTAAATGTAGACTCATCTGCATTCCAGGCTGGATACAGAATCTACAGGGGCGCCTGGGGAGAGCACTTCAGGCCTCTACAGTCAGGGTTGGCAAATAACTGGGCGGTTTGAGTCTTAAAAGTCATGCAAGGCTGTAAAAGACCTCAGGTGAGATGACTGAATAGCTGGTAACACCTGAAAGAGCTAGGCAAGATTCCAAAAATAAAATAGACTCAAGGATTGGAAGGTAACATACAGACATCTTCCGCATCAGTGAACATCCTGAAAGCGTCACCAGAGCTGTAAGTGTTAGCTGAGGGCACTTGCCACAGTGGGACTGTCCTCCGATGCCTAGAATCAGGCATGATGCAACAGCATTGTGGTTAAACAATGTAAAGCAAATGTTACAAAACAGAGCCTCAGGTACTCATGAAACCCAAACTGGTAAGCAGGTGATGGTAGGATGGCAGAAAGTGACCACTGTTCACTGTATATGGGTAGCATGAACAGACCAAAGATCGAATTTTCACATAGCTTAGTGTTTAATCCTCCTTGTTAGGAACCACTGAAGAGTGGGAATTTTAAAGGCACGCAACCATCCAAGCAAATGAAGCAGCTCCCAAAGTGAAGCCTGATCAGCCTATTCACAGAGTGAGTCCTCAGAGTCAGGGTAAGTGATGAGGTAATGCTGATAGCTCTGGACCTAGAAAGCGATCAGCAGCTAATTTGTTACAAGAACAGAGTCTATAAAGTACCTTTTCGCAGAACCCAGTGCCCGAAAGATCACTTCCAGGTTATCCCTAAAAAGTCATGTCCAGCAGGGTCTGGCCACAGCCAGATCACATCCTGGATCATATCCTGATAGACGCAACGGAAGTTAATAGCTCTAGCAACAAAGTAGGGAATAGACATGATTGAAGAAAAAGTGTTGAAGAAAAAAAAAAAAACTTATGCTAGCAAAATTAGGTTAGGCTTTTCTCAGCAGAGCTGAACAAAAGCTATCCATTTTACTAGCAGGGGCTATCCTAAACAGCTTACAGTTTTTTGCTTGTCAGTGTCCAGTCCTGGCCTTGATTTACTAAAACTGAAAAGTGCAAAATCTGGCGCAGCTCTGCATAGAAACAAATCCACTTTCAGGTTTTTTTCAGCTTAATTGAACAAGCTGAAGTTAAAAGCTGACTGGCTACCAAGCACAGCTGCACCAGATTTTGCACTCTCAGGTTTTAGTAAATCAACCCCACGGTGTCCCTCAATGGGCGATAAAGAAAACAACTTTCAAAATTTGTGCTAGAGCTGTCAGTAAAAAGAATTATTTATGCAAGTATATTTTCTCACATATTTTTCATTCAATAACTATTTTCAGGGAACCTTACAGAAAATTTGTACTTACTAAAAATACATTAGATTCAATTTAAAAAGGGTTCTATGAAAAGAACAGAGCACTTTTCAATACCAGCTACTAAAAGCTAATTATACATAAAATAACTATAGTCAGGGCTTTGCAGTATATTTTACCCTGCACATTAAGTAAACCATAGGACAAATCTGGTGCTTCATCAGTTTCTAGCCTTACCTGCTGAATATTTGCCCAAAAATGCTGAATCTCCCGAGCAGCTAGCCATGCTATGCGTCTAAGTCTGTCTTCCCCTTCCTTCTTGGCCCTGGCAACACTCTTCACTTTCTCGGTCAAGTGTCTTGCAGCTGTTCTAGCCATCTGTAAAAAAAAACACATACTGTAGAAAAAAACCTCTAAAAGCATTATCTGTTTGTACTTAACTATAATGTGAAACTGCTTCAAATAAAGAAGTCACAAATGTGTCTTTTCATTCAAGTAGAGATGGGAAGTGTTTATACCAAAATATTATCTTTCGAAACAAATGCTTTAAATCAATTTAATGCAGAAATAATTTGAAAGATGCAGATAGCCTACTACAGGGATGTTCAATCTGTATTGCCCAACGCCCAGGACATGTAGTTCCAGGCGCCGGGCAGGTAGTTTCTTTTAAAAACTTTAGCCCTGCTGCAGGCAAGCATCAGAGCTCACCTCAGGTGGAAGCATTCAGGCGGCAGCGCTGCCGCCGATTGCTTCCACACCCCCCCCCTATATTCCAGCCCCCCCCCCCCCCTTTTTGTCTCCTATCTGATGGGAAAAAAAAAAAATTAAAATTTTAAACTGTAAAAAATTAAAAGTTACACTCAAGCAATAAGCAGCCCCCTGCGATACACATTACATATTGCCGTGCACGCCAGAATGAAAGAAATAATTCTTGCACCAGACCTCCCCCGTAACACTAAACTGATGACCTATAGGGGCTTTAAAAGCATCACCTATAGAAAATATAGGGTACTAAATTTTAATAACTGTGAATAGTGCAGCGCTATAAACAAAATTTATCTAATAAGTAAAATTAGTGTTAAATATTGCTTGCCATGCAAACACAATGGTGCTCAGTGAAAAATTATTGCAAACAAATACATCTCATTCAACAAATATATAAAGTGAAACATAACCTTATTATGGTGACATAATACAAATAGTAGTGAAGTGGTTCTTTAAGGAGAAAAAAAACATCCAGTGCTATATATCAATCTCTAAAAAAACACACTGTATGTGACCAAACAGCAAACAAATCAAATTATATCTGTGTTATTTGAAAACAAAGTCCATGCAAGTGAAACCGTGCTGATGTGATCTTCACTCCAGTGAAAATTAAACAGAAATCCTCAAATGGCAGCAATGCCTGCTCACCTCCACACATCGACCCGCGCAGGGTCACAGGGCTATAATTAATAGTAACAGATCCTCTCCACTCCACTCCTCATCACAGGGACTTTGGAATAAGGTAAAGACCTCTGCCCAGCGCACCTTATTCACGCCACCTCCACTCAAGATTACATATATAGGGTATAAAGGAAGAAACCTTCCATAGTGCAGTATCCTTTTATTGAAATTGCAGGAAAAAGTAGGTAAAGAACTCACATGTATCCCCAGCAACAAAAACGCCTGTCACCACATCCTATGGGTGTGTACTGCATGGTATACTGGGTATAGCAAGATGGCCGCTACCAGAAGTGCGTCACCCTCGTACTGGAAATGACGTACCGATGCGTTGCGTCACGTGACTTCATCAGGGTTAACCCATCTTGCTATACCCAGTATACCATGCAGTACACACCCATAGGATGTGGTGACAGGGGTTTTGTTACTGGGGATACATGTGAGTTCTTTACCTACTTTTTTCCTGCAATTTCAATCAAAGGATACTGCACTATGGAAGGTTTCTTGCTTTATACCCTATATATGTAATCTTGAGTGGAGGTGGAGTGAATAAGGTGCGCTGGGCAGAGGTCTTTACCCTATTCCAAAGTCCCTGTGATGAGGAGTGGAGTGGAGAGGATCTGTTACTATTAATTATAGCCCTGTGCGGGTCGATGTGTGGAGGTGAGCAGGCATTGCTGCCATTTGAGGATTTCTGTTTAATTTTCACTGGAGTGAAGATCACATCAGCACGGTTTCACTTGCATGGACTTTATGTTTTCAAAAAACACAGATATAATTTGATTGGTTTGCTGTTTGGTCACATACAGTGTGCTTTTTAGAGATTGATATATAGCACTGGATGTTTTTTTCCTCCTTAAAGAACCACTTCACTACTAATTGTATTTATGTCACCATAATAAGGTTATATTTCACTTATATATTTGTTGAATGAGATGTATTTGTTTGCAATAATTTTTCACTGAGCACCATTGGGTTTGTAATTTTACTTATTAGATAGATTTTGTTTATAGCGCTGCACTATTCACAGTTATTTTGCAATATTACTTATTGGTTTAAGTCAAGTGGCAGCAGCTTTAGTTTAGGTTTGTGACTTCCGCAATAAGCGCAGGAGGATATTTACTGTTATTTCTAAGGGTACTAAAGTTTGTTGCCATTTAAGGACACGCAAATTCAAGGTTTGATATGATGGATATCCATTTACTCTCTGTGCAACCTCATCTTTTTATATTTTACAAAAGAAATGGGTAATTTTTTGCTTTTTTTTTTGTGCCCTAAAATTAAGTGCTATTTTTTTACTGAAATTTTGCATTTCCTATACCTTTGTGGTAATATCTTGTGACATAAAAATTTGGAACTACCACTATTTTGTTCTCTAGAGTGTCTGCTTTCAGAAAATATATGTTTTGGGGGTTTTATATAATCTCCAGGCCTACATTTTTTTTTTTTTAAATGTAAAAAAGGCCTCTGGCAGCGAAAGGGATAAAGGATAAGCTCAACACTCCCCTTACCTGACAAGCACCCAATCGGTGCTCATTACCCTGCTAGTCCGTGGGTGCGGTGCAGGAGGTGAGGAGATAAACAGTGCAATGTTAAAATGATTATACGTTTATGTCGCCAAAAAGACCCTTTTGTTTTTAAAAGCCCCAGACATTCCTAAAATCACCTCCGATTTAAATACTTTTTTGGTTTACATTTTTTTTTTTTATATCTGGACAAGTAGATTGTCATGAGGGACAAGAAGATTGGAACCCTGATTTTAGTCCCTGGACATTTTTTTTTTTAATTTCCACACCCCTGCTACTAAGATTCTTTCACCCATTTTGTGCAGTTCCTGGCATCCAAAGTTAACATTTAAAAATATATATTATAAAAGGAAAAAAAAAACTCCACTTCAAGAATAAGAGTTTCTGCATACATCCTCAGCAGTATTCAAAAATTATGGCACTGTGGCCAAGTTCCTCACCAGTCAATCTTGGGCAATACATAACAGAAAGGAAGCTTACCTTCCCCTTCCTGCCTCCTACCATGGCTCTTAAAACGGCAGCTAAAGGGCCTGTGACGATATATTTTGGGCTTATATTGAGAGAGCATCAGTCTGAGATTCAACTGAAATCATCCAGAATTAAACAATAATGACAGACAGACCTCTTCAATCAGATTTTGTATTCTAAAATACAATTCCTTCTGAAGTGAACATAAGACAGCTGACACAGGCCCTGTTAGAGGCTACTGTGCATATACTGCATGCAGGTGCCTGTAAGTGATAGCACTTTACAACTACAGCACTTTTTAATAACACAACGTCTTAAGGAAATGAACTGAGCACGCAAATTAACCAAAATCAATTACCTTCTTAGCACTGGCAATTTTCCACATCCTCTCTTGTGCAAAATCAGCAGCCATCCACTGCATCTCTTCCAAAAGATAGTCCCAGTGCGACTTTGGTCTGCTGGGCTCCATAAGTTTGGGTAACCTTCTCAATGACCAAAGGCCTTCTTTCCGAAGTTCTGTGATTCGTTGATGAATATGGTTTTCCTGAAAAATACATGCAATAACCTATCACATGCGTATAAACATCTCAACTATCTATAATTTTCTTGTAGAAAATCTGACAATTATCTACAGGCAAGAAATCTGCAGTTACATGTGATATGCACATTATGCAACAGAAATGGACTAAAGAAATGCTCAAAAATACGCTATTATTGTATATCTAATGTCCGAAGTTAAAAAACTTACAGTGCAATGGGCTAAAAACACACGTCAAAATTGCTCTCTTATGAAGCTGACACTGACAGAGTCACAGCACTCAGATGAGAGGCTGTCTGCATATGCTGATACAGTATCGTATTGCAAAGCACTAGATTATGTGACCTGTGTGCATTGCAGGCTCTGTATTCATTGACTTTACACGGGTGTGCACAATTATTAGGCAAGTTGTATTTTTGAGGATCAATTTCATTATTGAACAACTACAGTGCTCTTGGTCAAACCAATATGTTCATAAAACTCAAACCTGAATATTTAAGAAAGTAAAAAGTGAGGTTTTGCCTTTCTTAGAATATTTGTGTGAACAATTATTGGGCAAATATTAGTGTGCATAATTATCATGCAACTAATACATTGTTTATTTTCATCTGTTAAAAGTGAGAATTATAAACAAACTCAATTTCCAAATAAACATTTGACATTTAAAAAAAAATAAAAATAAATCAGTAACCAATACAGCCACCCTTCTGTTCAAGAACAGTCATAAGCATTGTGTTAAACTGTTGATGATCAATTTTTTGTACAGCAGCAACCACAGCCTCCCAGACACGGTTTCAGAGAGGTGTACTGTTTTCCTTCACCGTAAATCTTCTGTTTAAGAAGGGCCCACAAGTTCTCAATAAGGTTTAGGTCAGGCGATGAAGGGGTCATGTCATTCTTTCATCTTTAAGGCCTTTACTGGCAAGCCACACTGTGGAGTACTTCAATGCATGCGATGGAGCACTGCCCTGTATAAATATCATGGTCTTCTTGAAAGATGCAGACTTTTGCCTGTACCACTGCTTGAAGAAAGAAAGGTTTGGGAATTCATTTTAAGTTCACCTTCAACCCAAAAAGGTCCAACTAACTCATCTTTAATAACAACAGCCCGTTACGGATCCAGCCACGGGCCAATCCATCTGGTCCATCAAGAGTCACTCTCATCTCATCAGTCCATAAAACCTTTGAAAAATGTATATAGAGATATTTCTTGGCTCAGTCTTGACATTTCAACTTATGTGTCGTCTTCAGTGATGGTCAGGTTTCAGCCTTCCTTACCTTGGTCAAGTCGCTGAGCACTGAACACCTTGTATTTCTGGGCACTCCAGGTAGGTTGCAATTCTGCAGCACTTGAGGATAATGATTCTTTTCAAATCATTGACAGTTCATTTGCATGTTTTTTTTCTCACCACGTTTCTTGCATCCCTCTTGACTATTTGCAACAAAATATTTTGACTGTTCTGTGATCACGCCCCAATATCTTAGCAATTAAAAGAGTGAAAAGTCAAAAATTGTAAAAAGTCTTTCAGAGGGAGGCAGCAGAGTCAGTTAACGCTTGTTTAGCCCATTTTTCCTGAGGAAAAGAAACTATATATAGGGTGTTGATCTCCTTAGGCCACATCCTCCCTCATTACACAAATACACATCACCTGAAATGCTTAAATCTAATAAGCATTCAAGTTTACACTTTACTTTTTGCTATAAAAAAACATCCAGTAAAGGAAAACTTAAAAAAAAAAAAAATCTAATTTCATCATAAATTTAGCCAAAATGTATTCTGCTACATGTCTTTGCTAAAAAAAAAAGAAAAATCCCAATACATGTAAACTAATTGGTTTACATGAAAGTTATAGTGCCTACAAATGGTGGTATATATAACACTGGAATTTTTTTTTTTTTTTTTTAATACTATTAATGGCGGCGATCAGCGACTTCTAGTGGGACTGCGGTGGGCATTCTTACACTGGGGGGGAACTGGCTAACTGCAACTGACATCCCCAGTGACACTGAAACAGTGATCAGTGCTAATAAAAAAAGCACTGACACTGTACTAATGACACTGGGAAAGAAGCTGTTAACATCTGACGTGATCAAAGGTTAACTGTGTGCTGTTCTAAGTGTGCTGTGTGTTTTACTAGGGAAACAAGCTGCTTTGTATTGCTCTGCTGTGCAGAGCAATACAAAGCAGCCTGTTTGTGATAATGGGAGAGATTTCTGTTTGCACACAGACCTCTTCCCTTTCACTGTTCCTCAGCGATCACTGGGTGCTGGGGGGAACCCGGTGATCGACAGCTGTAGCCGAATGGCAGCGCGCGCCCTCTACCTGGAAATTAAAAAGTGTGTGTGTGTATATACACACACATATACACATATATACATACATACACATACACAATATATATATATACATACATACACACATACACACACATACAGTGGGTATCAAAAGTTTGGGCACCCCAGCTAAAAATTTGTATTCATGTGCATAAAGAAGCCAAGGAAAGATGGAAAAATCTCTAAAAGGCATCAAATTACAGATTAGACATTCTTAGAATATGTCAACAAAAGTTAGATTTTATTTCCATCATTTACACTTTCAAAATAACAGAAAACAAAAAAAATGGCGTCTGCAAAAGTTTGGGCACCCTGCAGAGTTAATATCTTGTACTGCCCCCTTTGGCAAGTATCACAGCTTGTAAACGCTTTTTGTAGCCAGCCAAGAGTCTTTCAATTCTTGTTTGAGGTATCTTTGCCCATTCTTCCTTACAAAAGTCTTCCAGTTCTTTGAGATTTCTGGGCTGTCTGTCACGCACTGCTCTTTTAAGGTCTATCCATAGATTTTCAATTATGTTGAGGTCAGGAGATTGTGAAGGCCATGGCAAAACCTTCAGTTTACACCTCTTCATGTAATCCCCCGTGGATTTCGAGGTGTTTAGGATCATTATCCATTTGTAGAAGCCATCCTCTCTTTAACTTCAGCTTTTTCACAGATGGCATCAAGTTACCATCCAAAATTTTCTGAAATTTTATTGAATCCATTTTTTCCTTTCTACTCGTGAGATGTTTCCCTGTGCCACTGGCTGCAACACAACCCCAAAGCATGATTGATCCAACCCCATGCTTAACAGTTGGACACAGGTTCTTTTCATTAAATTCTGTGCCCCTTCTTCTCCAAACGTACCTTTGCTCATTCCGGCCAAAAAGTTCAATTTTAACCTCATCGGTCCACAGAACTTGTTTCCAAAATGCATCAGGCTTGTCTATATGTTCATTTGCAAAGTTCAAACGATGATTTTTGTGGTGAGGACGTAGAAGAGGTTTTCTTCTCGGATGACCCTTCCATGAAGACCATATTTGTACAAGTATCTCTTTTTAAAGTGGAATAGTGTACCACAACTCCAGTGTCTGCCAGATCTTTCTGGAGGATCGTGCAGTCAAACGTGGGTTTTGAATTGTTTTTCTCACAATCCTGCAAGCTGTTCTGTCTGATATTTTTCTTGGTCTTCCAGATCTTGCTTTAACTTCCACTGTTCCTGATGACTGCCATTTCTTAATTACATTCCGAACAGAGGATATGGACATCTGAAAACGCTTTGCTATCTTCTTATAGCCTCTCTCCAGCTTTCTGAGCGTCAACTATTTTCTCAGTTTCAGTTTTCTAGACAACTGCTTAGAAGAACCCATGGTGCTGATTTTGGGGCAAGGTCAGATGAGTCTGGGCATTTAAAACCTTTGAGATTGACATCACCTGGTCTTCCCAGACGATGATTGAGAAACAATCCATGACACTGGCAGTCTCAGCTTGGCAATTAGGGGGCAGTGCATGCTATAAATTCTGCAGGGTGCCCAAACTTTTGCAGACGATCATTTTTTTTTGTGTTTTCTGTTATTTTGAAAGTGTAAATGATGGAAATAAATCTAACTTTTGTTGACATATAAGAATGTCTAATCTGTAATTTGATGCCTTTTGGAGATTTTTCCAACTTTCCTTGGCTTCTTTATGCACATTAATACAAATTTTTAGCTGGGGTGTCCAAACCTTCGATCCCCACTGTATAAACATACAATCACACACACCATATATACATATATATACACACACACACACACACACACACACACACAGTTGTGTTCAAAATAATAGCAGTGTGTTGAAAAAAGTGAATAAAGCTCAAAATCCTTCTAATAGCTTTTATTTCCATACACACAAATGCATTGGGAACACTACACTTTCTATTTCAAATCAAAACATGAAGGAAAAATATCAAAATTTGTGTTGTTCCTCTAAAAAGACAAAATTGAAGAAAAGTAATATTAGACTGTTCAAAAAATTTGTAGGGTTTGTATTCTTCTTTACAAACTCAACAATTCACTATTAAACTGAAAAAATGTTTGAAGATTTTGCTTTCAACTTTGAATCACTTAATTAATATTTAGTTGTATAAAGCACTGTTTCTGAGAACTGCTGTACATCTGTGTTGCATGGAGTCAAGCACCACTTCACTGGCACCTGTGAACAGGTTTATTCCAGCCCAGGATGATTGGACTACATTCCACAGTTCTTCTCTATTTCTTGGTTTTTTGCCTCAGAAACTGCATTTTTGATGTCATGCCACGTTTTCTAGTGGATTAAGTGATCCGGGGATTGGGCTGGCCACTCCATAACGTCAATCTTGTTGGTCTGGAAACCAAGATGTTGCAAAACTTTACTGGTGTTTGGGGTCGTTTCTTGTTTGGAACACCACCCATTTCAAGGGCATTTCCTCTTCAGCATAAGGCAGCATGACCAAAAAAAGAACAATCTTACTTTCATCAGTCCACAAAATGTTGCGCCAATTCCTCTTTAGGCCAGTCAATGTGCTCTTTGGGCAAATTGTAACCTCTTCAGCACGTCTTTTAATTTTTTTTCAACAGTGGGACTTTGCGGGGGCTTCTTGCAGATAGCTTGGCTTCACATAGGCGTCTTCTAATTGTAAACAGTACTCACAGTTAACTTTAGACCATCTTTG